TATTTTTCAAATAAATTTTGACCCTGATTTTTAAGGAATATACAATCTTGGAAATCATTAATGTGTAAAAATAAATAAAATTAAATACTAAAAATAATATTTTTTAAAGGAAATATTTGAGCCATTCATTTTGCCTTTTTTCTTGGAGGGACCATCACTTATGTGCCTCGGGGTATGCCTTTGGATGGATGGTTTATGCCTTGGGGGACACAAATGTAGAAATGTGCCTTCAGATGCATAAACTACTTTTCAAAAATAGATTATATGTTTCATTGGGCTAGAATATTATGTGTGTCTGTAAACATTTATATACTTCCATTTGAGCAAAATGTACATTTGCTCCCTTCGGAGAAGATTAGGAGTTTTTTTTTTTTGGAACACCAAAATTTGAGAATGTAACTAGCACTACCTAACTAACAGCCACCCTAATTTGAACTCTTTAAGGTACATCAAGGTTAAACCCATATGCATTGAGTTCCACCTCCGAATGGATGTTTAAAACTTAATTTTGATGGATCTTCTGTTGGGAATACAGAAAAGGCTGGAGTGGGTGGTGCATATAGGGATTATGTTCTATTATGCTTCCCCTTGTGGAGTGGCATTTGCTAACCATGCTGAGATTATGGCAGTTTTACAAGTTCTTAAAATTCAGAAAGAGAAAGGGTTGAGAAATTCTTTGCTTATTGAAGGTGATTCTAACAATGTTATTAATTGGTGCAATTGTCACTCTGCACCACCATGGCAGCTTAGATCTCTTTGGTTGCAAGTTATGGATTTCACAGGTTGAAGTTCTCTAAGCTTCAATCTTATCTACAGAAGAAAATTCTATTGTGGATGATTTAGCAAAGAAAGGGGCCTATTGAGATGCTTTGTTTGTTTCTCCTACTTTATTTTGATACTTTTATTCTTGTAATAGTTCCGTGACTTAATAATATTCTTTACTCTTGTAAAAAAAAAAAAACAATCCAAATTTTTCTATATTTAGGTTTATAAAAAACTCAAAGAAAAGGAAACTTTTCCAATTGAAATCACTCATCTTTATGATTCTCAAGGGGATACTTGAGTTTCAATAAATAAATAAATCAATCATGTGTATCGTTTAGTAAATGGATCTTTTTATATTTAGAGGAAATAGAACAATGTTCTTTCTCTTCTAGTTTGCTTTCCCTTACTCCTCCCCACCTCTCTTTTCCTGTGTGAACTAAATTCCCCTTACAAGTCTAATAAGACATCGAATGTTAACCAATGCACTCCCATTTTGCCAATGAAAATAAAAAATGGAAATTCATGGAAAAGTACCTAAAATTTTGAAACTTTAGATAAGTTTGAAGTCTTCCTTAATTTAGGGCTGGCAACAGGCCAGGACAGCAATGGCCCTAGCCCTGCCCCTATATGGCTAGTCCTTGCCTAGCCTGGTCCTAATTGGCCCAAAGAGTCCATGGCCTAGGCCTGCCCTTGGCCTTGTTCAGACCGGGTTAGTTGGGCTCAAAACAATAGAAGAAAATACAATTTAAAAAAAATTAAAGAAAGAACTGTCTCAAACAGGGCTGGCTCGGCCTTGTTGTGGCCATGGCCCGACCCTCAGGCCATAATGGCTCAGCCCTATTCTTACCCTTGGGCTATATTTTGTGGCCCAAGCGCAAGTTTTTTAGGGTTGGTCTGGTCTGCCTGGCCATTGCCAGCCCTATTCCTCATCATCTATATCACCCGGGGTGTCACTTTTATGCCCATTTTGTCCCACTTACCCCTGGTTTTTACTCAGTGTTAGGTCCTAAAAAGTGTGAGGGATCTTTTATTGATCGAGTGAAAGCTGTCCAAACCACAGTTACTAGTCTCCGTTTACCATATGATTTTTTAAAAAAATCTTTGATTTTTTAAACCTGTTAATTCTGAATTTTGTAAAAGATCTTCAAAAAGTTCTTTTAATGGAACTGATATAAATCTGTATTTTATTTTTCAAAAAAAAAAATCCCTATAATTTTATTTATTCATTAACTCAATATTATTAAATTTTTGCTTAAAAATAAGTACATTAACATCGGGATTAAGTTAAAAATCTTGAATTTTAAAAAAATATCCATACAAAATTTCGTCAATGTGTTCCCTTAAAAAAGTGTACGAAAATATACAAACAATATATTCCTCAAAAAAAGCAATTAGAGCAACCCTATATATCAAAATAATAGGTAGAATTAGAAGAAAAGTAACCTAATAAAAAATATATATATATTTTTTCCCTTGAAACCCATAGCGTCTCTATAAAGAACAAGAGAGAGATTCAATGATACTAAATATTTAGGTAGTTAGGAATCTAGTGCGAAATTCGAATTTTCTTAAGCTTGTTACTTTTTCATGCATAGAGAAGTTTAATTAATATTAGTTTTTTTTTTTCATTGGTGTATACAACATAGCATTTTGAATTGATCCCTATTTTACATATTTGGGTGTTTGTGTTTTTTTTTTGGTTAACTGCAATCCTATACTGATAGCAATTTTTATTTATTTTCTTTGAAAAATAATCCTATACCTTGGTTCACAGTTCTTGTTATTTGCTAAGTAGGTCTTGTGTTTAGTATTGCTGTTGTTGTTTCATTTTATGCTCCCAATAACTCTACGATATGTTTTGTGTTCTAACAACAGAGTAAGCATTGTTGCTGAATTTATTGAAAGTTTCAATAAAAAATTGTTGAGTATTATTCTAATGACACTAATAAGGCTATAAAATTATTATTTAATGGCTTTGATTTATCTATGTAATAACTGCAACTCATAATCCTATATTATGTTATCTTTACATATTCAATTTTTTCACTACGTTTTTTTTTTCACTACGTTTTTTTTAACCAAATCCGAAATATTCACGATTCTATAACTTACCTTATTTGTTGGTGATCCGTATTTTTTACCTGATTTTTTCATCCAACTTTTTGAAACAAAACGGACTTATTACCGATATTTTGATCTGACAATATTTTATTACTCCCCGACTTGCTAACTATGGCCCCAACCGATTTTTTGTCTAGGGCCAGATCGGATATCTAACGTTCACACGAGCCTTGCACAAAAATAACATTTGGAGGTTGGATCTCCGAACTCCAATGTTCAACTTCTAAACCCATTTCCCACTTCAAAATGATTTGGTTCGGACATCCAGCCTCCAGAATTGTTTCCCCCTTCAAAAACAGCTACAAGTTCTTAGACATCCAATGTCCAGATCTGGGTCTTGACGGTTTTCGGATATAGGATTCTGAAACACAGGAAAACGATCCCCGTCTGGACTTTAAATATCCAAACAAATGGTAATTTGAGAAAAAAATTGACAATAAAGTGTGGGGAAAGGTTTCTATACTTCCCTACAGCATAACTCAACGTTTGATCTTAAATCCGACGTCTCAAAGTATTTTATTTTTATTTTATTTTTTATATAAATTGTATGAATATAAAATTTGGTACGTGTCATCTCCTCATTGGGGCGCATCTATAAAAAAAATTAAAAATAATTTTTCGATAAAATATAATGACCAAAATAGCCCTTGAAAATTTTAGGGGTATTTTGGTCATTTTATTTTATTAAAAATATTTTTTTTATATTTTTCTCTAGTGCGAGTTTAATAGAGGATTGGACGTCCAAAATTTGGTGTCAAAATAGTTTATAGAAAAAAATTAAAAATAAAATAGTATAGAGATGTGATATTGTGATTGAAACAATCTTAACTGTCCATTCAGAATGGATGGTTGGATAAGGGGAAGTAGATAAGGTTTATGTTGTAGAGGAAGCATAAAAAGCTTGTCCTAAAGTGTGACCCCGACTCAAAATTTTAAAAGGAAATTGATCAAAATACACTAAAATATTAGCTATTTAACTTTTGCTCGTATGTTTTGACTTAATTTGAAAAGGACCTGGTTTCTATGTGGCCAAGCCCGCATATGTAGAAATACGGGCCTCTTAATAAATCTATTTTTTAGATGGATTTTAAAACTTAATTTTTTAGGACATGTAATCTTTAACATGGAGATAATGAATATGAAAAATATATAAATTTTTAAAACTAAAAATAATCATTCTAGTAAAAAAATATTTGGACGGTTAGTTTCCATTGTTTTCAGATGGAATACCTACTTGCATCCATCTTTAAGATGGATGCTTTACACTATTTGGACCGCGTGTGTAGAAATGGAGTCTACCCCACATGAACCAATTTTCCATTTGAAATTACTATAAAAATGTTGGGTTTACCATAAAAGTCATTAGGTTTTTTATATCTCAAATCTAGCTCACCAAATCATTAATATGTGGTGGGGCCGCATTTCTACATTTGCGGTCCTTGAGGTATAAATCATCCATCTTAAAGACGGATGTAAATAGGTGGTTCATCTAGAAATAAATTAGACTAATAGTCCAAATGTTTTCTTAATAAAATCATTATTTTTAATTTTAAAATTTTATTTTTAATTTTTAATTTTTATTTTAAAGTTTTTATATTCATGATCTCCATATTAGAGATTATATGTTCTTAAAAATTAGGTCAAAAACTCCGTCTCAAAAATAGATTTTTAAAAGGTGACTCATTCTATATGGACTCGTAGAAACCTTGTCCATTCCATTATTCCACGATCCCGATTTCCTTATTTCATCTCTCTCTTCAACTTACACTGGTTTCTCTTTCTTGCGTGAGTTCTCATGTTGCAACGGGCAAGGCTTAGACTGCTAGCCTTGGTCTGGCCTTGGCCTTGTTAGGGCCGAGCTCCGCTAAAAAAAAGAAAAAAAAACATAAAAGAAAAAAAAGAGGGCTGGGTTGGTCCGAACCGGGCTGGCACGTCCCCCAAGACATAATTTGTGGTCCAAGCCCTCGTTTTTTTAGGGCCGGGTCGCCCAGCCCATTGGTAGGTCTATAAATATCCCATTTACTCCTCTTAAACAGGCAAAGGTTAAATAAATAAATGATGAAAAATCTCCCTGTCCAATCCTAAAATTTGACAAACATGCTTCCTTATCCTCTCTCTCTCTCTCTCTCTCTCTCTGTGCCCTATCAATATCATCCATTTCTCCCAAGGCCCTATGGACATAAACAAACATGTACATAAACAAGAAAAACAAAACTATATTTCCTCCTCTGCTACTTCAGAATTTCCCCAAACTATGTCTTCCATGCCACCTTTACTTTCTCTCTTCACCCCAAAATCTTGCCTGAAACCCCCAAAAAAATCTCATTTATCCCCAAATCTTCCCAAAAATCCCCTTCTGTCTCACCAAATATTGCAAATAAAACATGCCCAATATGTGTCTGAGGTCCACGGCCTTCAATATCAATATGCATCACATAGTTTTTATCCCCAAAATTACTCAACAAAATATCTAAAGAGACCCAAACTCCATATCCCTAGAGCTAGTGCAAGCTCTGATCCAATTACAAATGCAGAGAAGAGAAAAGGCATAGGAACCCTAAAACTTGGCCTTGTATTTGGGCTCTGGTATTTATACAATGTCATCTTCAACATATACAACAAGAAGGTGCTCATTCTCTTCCCTTATCCCTGGTTTCTGGCCTCTTTCCAGCTATTCACTGGCTCTCTATGGATGCTTTTTCTCTGGTTTTTTAAGTTTCAACCATGCCCAACAATCTCCAAGGGCTTCATTCTTGCCCTGCTTGGCCCTGCCTTCTTCCACACAGTGGGTCACATATCTGCCTGTGTTTCTTTATCTAGAGTTGCAGTCTCATTTACCCATGTCATAAAATCATCAGAGCCTGTGTTTTCGGTGGTTTTCTCGGCCTTTTTAGGAGAAAGATACCCATTTCTAGTATGGCTCTCTCTCTTCCCAATTGTATTTGGCTGTTCTTTGGCAGCCATTACTGAACTCAGCTTTAATTTGCAGGGATTTTATGGGGCAGTTATCAGTAATATTGGGTTTGTTCTTAGGAATATTTATTCCAAGAAGAGTTTGGGAGAATTTAAGGATATTGATGGACTTAATCTTTATGGAGTGATCAGTATTTTGTCATTTTTTTACCTGTTTCCAGTGTCCATTGTTGTGGAGGGATCACAGTGGGTAGAGGGTTTTAACAGTGCAGTAAAAGCAATTGGGAAGCCATGGATTTTCTTACTTTGGGTGTTAATTTCTGGGGTTTTTTACCATTTATATAACCAGTCTTCATATGAAGCTCTTGATGAGATAAGTCCATTGAGCTTTTCAGTTGGGAATACCATGAAGAGGGTTGTGGTTATTGTGGCCAGTCTTTTGGTGTTTAGGAATCCTATTAGACCTCTCAATGCATTGGGATCTGCTGTAGCTATTCTGGGTACCTTCCTATATTCTCAGGCCACACAAAAGATCAAAGCAAAAAGATGAGACTCGCTCTCTAAGAATATGATTATTCTCAGGCCACACAAAACATGACTCTCTCTCTCTCTCTATGATTCTCTCTCTAAGAGTATGATGTTTGAATTTTCAGCATGTATGTGAGTTAATCATTGACCTTCTCTAAAGATGAGATCGAACTCTGTTTCCCTCTCTCTCTCTATTCATGTACATTTTATTATCATTAACCCTCTCTAAAGAGAGCAAAAGCAATTATTCTCAATCTACCTCTCCTCTCTGACCTTGTTTGGTATTCTTGTAAATAGCATGATCATGAAGTTCTTTTAGACCCCTCTTGTATTGTTGTATTTTCTTGATTAGTATGTTTATGAATTTTTCGCATTTATTTGTTTTTCGCATGTGTTCCGAGCATATTGTACATTTACTCCTTCGGATAAAGTTCTACTACCTCCAACTAGCGACTAACAAAAAAAAGGAAAAAAAACATATTGTATATTGCCTGAATTAAAAATAATAAGATATATAAATAGGCCATTTATTTTGAGTACAGGGAGATCAAATCACTCTTATCTAGATTTTAAAATTACTGGTTGTAAGTGTACCATTGATTGAACTCAAAACTCAAAAAACAAAAAAAATTAACTTAATGACACATTCCAAGCCAATAAAATTAATGTTAGAAATGATTGTGACCTCTTTATGACTATGTAAATTGCCTCCTGATAAACAATCTCATAAAAAAGATATCCTAAAGTTGAGTTGATCATCCAACTTTTAGAGAGTCCACTCAAGTTTTAGAAACTCAAAGTCCCATCTTTTTCATTAAAATACATGAGACAGTGGATCCCAAAATGTCGGATCATGAATGTCCTTCAAGTAGGTCCTTTGCCCAAGATTGCAGCTCCTTGGTCTGGCATTTTCAATGAGCCTCGCACCTAGTAGATGATTTGGTGGTCTAATGAGACCACCGCTCTTATCATCCCGGCCTGAATTTTCTTTCTAAAGATCTACGCATCATCCCCACTCATTCGTAAGATTGATTTCAGAAAAATGAGGCGGAAGTTCGATTAGAAGCTCAAATGATGCTTAGTTGATTACCTCGAAAATAATTTACCTTGAAAATCCTATTTGAGAGGCTGTTTCATTTTTCATAGGTAGTTCCGTTGGGATGGGTTATTCACCTATGTTTAATAGGAATGGAACTCAAGAGATCACGTTGCAACACTTCAACAACTTGATCTAGAACTTGTTCTTAAAAACCAAACTTAAAACCCACATCTGACTGGATTCAAATCGCTATTTTTAAAAAAAAAATATTAATAAAAGATGATACCATATAGCACAAATTTTTTGTTTTGGGTTATTTATTGCTGAGATGAATAAACATTATTTGAAAAAAAAATTTGGTAAAAAGCACCCCATAAATAGTTGTTTTGCCCCTGGCAGTAAGTGTATGATTACTCATTATTTTACATGTATATATATATATATATATATAGG